CCTGCTCCCCAGATTGGAGTGCAATGCAGGCAAAGAGATGCTCTTCTGTCCCAAGACGTCCTAGGAGGTGGCATTGACCATCAAGTCGAGGGCCGAAGGTAGAACATGCAGCCTCGCTCCAACGCAGTTACTCCCCTGAACGAAGCCACTACAGGGTTCTAGAGGGTACCCCAGAAACACAGCGTGGCCCACCAGCAATCCCCAGTGAGGTCCCCCGTCATGCCCCCACACTGGCATTGAAACAGGACACAGTCAACGGTCTCAGGTTTATTTTCAGAAAGTGATGAAGACAAAAGAAATACATCAGACACCACTCCCTATACAATAAATAGCCACCCCCGTTCAAAAATAATAATAATAAAAAAGAAAAACAAAAAAGCGCGCACACACAACCACCACAAACGAGACCTCGCTTTTTGAGACCCGCCTCAACCCTCTTCCCAGCCCTTCCTCTGAGCCCCACTCACTGTCTCTGAGCAGGTGGCACTCAGGCCAGCTGCCCAAAGTCACCCGGGGCCTCTCCCTGGTCCTGGTCGGCTGACTGTGATGAAATCCATGTGTGTTTCTTTTCAGATGACGGATGAACACACATGCACGCCGAAACGCTGACAGTTACTCTGCAAAAGCAGAGCTGAGGCTCCAGTCCCCAGCCTTCCCCGCCTGACCCCACCCACCCCCGGGGAAGCCAAGAAGCCCCTTTGTGTCCAAGACCTTCCTGTCTGTTCTGTTCTTCGCTGGCTGGGTGCCAACAGCCAGGAGCAGCACCAGGTGAATGGCTGTAGTCTGGGCAGGGCCAGGAAGCAGCAAATGCACCCAGGATCCTTCTTGGCCCACCTCTTCCCCAGGCAACTACCACACGGAGAAGGGACGGAGGGAGCCAGGGGCTTCTAAGTTCGCCGGTGTCCTCCGGCCTAGTAATGCTGTTTCTGTTCTCTTCACCAGGCTGTCTGCTCAGTTGGGAAAGTAGTTATAAAACTGACCTTCAGCTTCCTTATCGAAAGGAGAAGGGGCCCCAGCAGGGGAGGAGCTGTCGCCACTGGAAGGATAGGGGGACACGCGCCTCCGCTTAGAGTCTCCTTCACCCAGTCCTGAGTCACTGGACTCTGGCCGGATGGGGGTAATCTCAGTCCACAACGAGGGCGAGCCCTGGTCCTCCGGCCCCCGCCCCTCCAAGACTCCAGGGCCCGGTTCCATGGGAAGAGTCCGCATGGGGCGGAACCAGCTGGCTGGGCCCATCTTGGGAGGGTACTGGGGAGCCACAGGCCACCCAGCTCCTGGTGCCAGGACCTCCTGACCTCGGTAGTAGGACATGGCAGGGCCAGGGCCGGAGGGCAGGAAA